GTGAGAGCCATGAATGAATGAAAAAATGCACCAAGCTGAGTCTGTTTTGTCCTTTGATATTTGCCTTTATTGATAGTTGATAGTTGTTGTGGACATGTTAGGGAGATGTGAAGAATAAATAAGATTAAATATCCAACAGTCCAGCAATCCAAGAAATGGAAAAAAAATAAACAAATCAGCAGAACTTCTGTGGAGGATATGATCTGTTGGGAGTTGGGGTGGTCTATTTCCATATGAGAATCTTAAGCTTTTCCTGCATTCATGGAGATCCTAAAACATGTGTGCTGATTGCTGTTTTGTGGTTTAAGGTGAAGACGGCAGCCTCCTGCGCTTTAGGCAGCATGGCGGTCGGCAGCCTGAACGACTACCTGCCCTTCCTGCTGAAGGAGATCTCAGCCCAGCCGCGGAGACAGTACCTGCTCCTGCACTCCCTCAAAGAAGTCATCAGGTGTGTGTTCACTGGATTGTGCAGCTATAAGTGTCATTTTCCCTCATTCGCTCTGCTGTATTTGCTCCCCTTCATCACCTCAAATCTTTTAAACGAGTTGTTTCACAGACCAGCACTCTGCTCCGTAGTGTCCCAAGCAGTGAAAGTCCCATTGACGTTGTTTCAACTTTTGATTTTCTTTTGTCTTGTGCTGCAAGGGTGGAGGTGGGATGAGTAAGTTGGTGAATCCACTGCATCATTTCAGTTGATATGTGATTCTTGTCTGTTGTAGCCCCACTTTAATATTAAGCTCAAAACACTCCCCAATTGCAGTTTTAACCAATTTCCTTTAAAGTTTGCTCTCTCCTTACTGAATAGCTCCTCTCTCTCTCTGCTCAGTGCCTGTCCAGCCTCTAGTCTGTCGCCCCACGTGGAGTCTATCTGGGCCTTGCTGTTCCAGAATTGCGAGTGTCAGGAGGAAGGGACCAGGAACCTGGTGGCTGAATGTTTGGGAAAACTGACCTTAGTCAACCCTGCACAGCTTCTGCCCAGACTGAAACAACAACTCAAAGCTGGTATGATGGGTCAGGAGGGAAGAGTTTGTGTTTCTTTTTTAAATGTACATGTTAGTTTTAGCCCCTCATTGGGTGCTGGACAGTGTATACCCTCTGAACCCCAAACCTCCCTGGTTGGTTGGTGGAAAGACATGTTACATATAAAAAGACTCCCAAAATTACATAATTTATTGGAGAAAAATGAAAATATCAAGACTTTCAACAGTGACGGTCTCATCGGTACTCATCTGTGTTGCGCTGTTCGGTCAGAAAAAAAATCACTTTCTGTATGTCTTATTTAAAAAAGCACCAAAACTAAAGTTTGCACCAGATTCTTAACACATCAGAACTATAAATTAGATTACAAACAGCCTTATTACAAAGTGTCACTGAACAGTGATGCTATTTATCCTGTTCCAAGAGCTCTCAGCTACAACGCTACCAAATTGAATGCAATGTGAAGAACAGCAGTACCACATCTATTTTAATCATAGCAGCACTAAGCGTCTTGGTTGGGTGGCGGTTGTGTTTTAATAGAGTTCAGAGGCTTAATTTGGCATTTGTTTTTCTTTAATCACATAAAATATTAATAATATGTATTACAAAAACTAAACAGAGAAACTAATATCATGGATCTTCTTAAGTAAAAATATCTAAAGAAAGGGAAGGAATAAATAATGAGTATATTCATGGTTGGCTTGTGAATAGGTTCAAAAAAGTGTTTTTTAAAAAAAAAACTTAATATAAAAGCTTCTCATGATATTTATCCCACAAACAGCTAAGCCTAACATAGCTAGCAGGGAATGTTCCCACAACATTGGCTAACAATACCGTCTAGTTTTAACATCGTATAAAAGAAAACATTTCCATCTAATGTTAAAAAAAAGTTTTTCTTTTAGTAAAAGTTAACCAAGACTTAATGTTTTAACATCCAGAGGATGTTTGAAGGATGTTATCAGGGCCACATATTCAGTTACATGATTAAAAAGGAAAAACATTCTCAAAGCAACATTCAGAACACTGAAAACATTACTTGCTGAACTTTCTCAGAATGTTTTTAGAACAAATAAATTGCATCTGGGAAGATGAAGA